AAATAAATAGATTTCTTTAAATATATATATAAAGTAGTAAGAAAAAAAAAGCCAAAATGTCTACAGATTTGATAGAAGAAACTATCAAACCTCCAAAATATGCTCCATCGCTGAGTTTTATCTCCTTACTGCCGCGTGGGATGACTGTGACGGTGCCGTGTTGGATGAAGTACATTTTTCGACCCAGCGTTCCTTCTCGAATTATGAAGTCTCCTGGTTGGAAAACTTCAAAACGCAACTTGGTCAGGATCACCGTCACAAAATGAGGGTCAGTGTTGGCGAAGAGCGGCATGTTGGCTACGAGTCCACGACAGTTGTAGCTGACGATTTCCTACATGGCGGGAGGAAAGAGACGACATTCAGAAGTGGTCAAAGTAACACTGAGATGCTTTTGGTTTTATTAGTCTCATACATTTACACTTCAGCACAGACAAGTAGTTTTTTGTGCAGGTGTGTTTTTGTTCTATAAGCAAACTAAAAACATCCGTTCTGAAGTTTTTGTTAAAGTCGATTCTTTTAAATAATAATCGGTGAAGCTAGCATTCCTTAAATGATTGCATATTGTCCACTCAGAGACAACATTGAATTTAGCCCCTCCCCTGACTCCGCCCCCTGATTTATATGCATTAATAATTTCAGGTTTGAGCAAACATCTAAAGTGATGCGTTTGGTTTTAGTCATACATCACAAATTTTTGTGCAGTTTTCTCATCGTTTTAAACTATGACAACATCTGCAGAGAAATACTTTGTTGGACTTTCTTTTTCAGTTTTCTGACAATAAATTATTAATTGCAGGCTGGTTCTTATTCCAACCTTGTGTTCTGCACTTGTCAGTTAGACCATATGCCAGTATATGAGGGAGAAATGGGATCGAGCAGAAAGAAAGAGCAACGTCAAAGATCTGAGCTGATGATGAATGACACCTCTTATCTGGACAATGGCTGAGAGGGGGGGCTCTGGACTATGCTACGACTTTCCCTTAAAAATTCAATGTTTTCACCAGCCTACATGTACATGTATAACATCTATTTATGTTGCTTTGCTGTGGTAGGTTTTTTTGATGCCTCAAATCGTGCCCTGTCTAGGACACGGTGTGAGAGATCTTTTTTTATACCGTCTCTCCTCATGTTTTCTTCCCTTTTCTCATCTAAGCAAAATATTATTTTGAATAAGAATAAGAAGGCTGCGCTATTTATAGCCGCAGCTTCGTGCACTCCGCCCATCTTTCGGACGACTGTACATACATGTTTGCGTTGTATCTCAGTGCAATGCCAATAAAGTTTATTCTGATTCTGATTCTGATCTGATGTTGAACCTACCTCCTTGAGCGGATCACTGAGTTCTCCAAGTATGCTGTCCTCATCAAACATCTTGCCTTGAAATCGGTGCTCGTAATAATCGTGGATCCTTTGTCGGACGTCTGCCGGTAATTTATGGAACGACATGTACTGTTCCACTTGCTTATACTGCAAAGATCGGCACAGAACATATCATGACCTGACCCGTGTGGGGATACAAAGCAAAGTTCTCTGAGACTGATGTAAGTGCTGACAATTAGTCACATTTTCTAGCATGCGTTTGCTGAATTATTCCATAGTAATTACACATCCATTCCATTTGATTTATAGGCTGCTTTTCTCTGGTTTTTAAGTGGATTACAAACTCATTTGCAGCAACCATCATCAGACAGTGATCCAAAACAAAGGTGCTGCCGTTTCTCATCATCTGCTTAGCTTTATCATGTGAAAATCCCACAGAAAGGGTCACAGTGAGGCCACCAAATCCATTAGATAATACACTATGCTGCACAGTATATGGGAATGTCGATTGAGCAAGGTAATGATGGGAAAAAAGGCTGCGTTAGTAAAAGCTAGAGGCACATTTATGTCCACGTGAGGCTTTTGGAACGTACTGTAAAGCCACAGAGTTTGAACGTCAAAAGGTTTTACAGGTGAGATGATTACCTTCTCTTGATACTGGCGATGGGATGCGTCCAAGGATTGGACCAAGTTAGTTGCGTGACCCAAGAACATGGCGTAGCAGGTGGCTCCAACAACCATGCTGACCATGGTAAGCCAAACGTCACTCATGCCCTCTGGAGGGTGAGCGCCATATCCTATGCACAACATGTGACTCATGGCCATGAACAGGGCATAAGAGTACTGGATGTGCCAGGTGGCGTTCTAAGAGGGACGGAGGGAAAACAAGAAGGGATAAAGCATGACGCAGCGATGCAGTCAAAGTAAATAATGACATCAGACATTAGACAAGGAAAGAAATTTAGCAAAAAGTCAACATAAGATATTTTGAGGACATTTAATATTGAGGGTTGCAACTTTCTGAGCACCTTTACAGTTTTTCTGAAAACTGCTCTTTAACTATTTGAATTGACAATAAAATATAGACAGTTGGTTCGGATAGATTTTTAAAAAAGTATAACATTTGTCAAATCTGTAAAAAAAATTCTTCTGACTTTTTCAAAACACCAAATATCTTTCTTTGTTCAAAAATAACGCCCAAACCTCTGCAGGTTTGTGTTGCTACAGAAGCCCAGAAAGGACAAACCAAATAGTTTGTAAGGAAAACCATTTTATTTTTTACTGTCTTTTGACTGCCACCATTTTTTTTTTCACTTTTTAATGGTAAAACTATGAAATTCCTTTACAGAACTTTGCATATTGTTGGGAAAAAAAAAACACTTGAAAATGACATTTGATCCCAAATGAACCCACTTAAGTGTGTCATTTTTGAAGGATTAACAAATAAAAAACATTACCAGTATATTCATTATCATGATTTGTTAAGCCAGTTGGTTTCGCGCCACAAAATGATCATATAAATGACATCTAGTTTTAGAAAGTTTGTATTGTAGTTTTCTTAGATTCATGTACACAGTGGACACCGAACATACAGTACATGTTGCCTGCGTTTTAAGAACCAACACGTTCAGCAATTTGGGCTTATTTTAGTTTCACGCAAACTGTTTTAGGAAGTCATTAGGATTCACATTAGTATAAATACTTGTACATGCTTTCATTGCAAACTTTGTTTTTGCTGCATGCAGTTACACATGAATCAGTCATCCATCTGTTTTCTGTGCTGGCTGTTAAGGGCCGTGTGAGCTCTTCTTGGCAGTCAACACGTTAGAGGAGAGTGCACCCTGCACAGTTTGCCATTTCATCAATTTAAAGACACACTACAAAGACAAGTAAATTTCGAAATGCCAACTCATTTAATATGCATGTTTTAGATTGTGAGGAAACCAGGGAACATGTCATGGAGAACATTCAAGCTTCACACAATAAGGCCCTGCAAACACTTGAACCTACAACCTTCTTAATGTTCAAGGTTCTTTATTGTCATTCACATCACATGTGGTACATGAGGTGGAACGGAGTCGTGTACTTGTTATGTGCACATTGGCCTTATTGTTTTGTCCGTTTGGGACAGATTTTAAGTTGGCTAATCAGCCTTTAATTGTTTTGGGCTGTGGCCTTTTCCACCCCTCCTATAAATAGGATGGTTTCAGGGAGCCCCTCTCTTTTTGTCTCTCTCAGACTCCCACCTTTTTGAGCAGCCCTTTCAGAGGCTCATCTCCCTTTTGGCTCTCACTCCTCCTTTTGACCCTCTTTTGCCTCACTCTGATTTTTGGAACCCTTTCAGGCCCACTGTTGGATCCCTCCCAGCCTGAAGGTATTTTTGTTAACATGTATGTTTTTTGTAGTGGTTTTGTCCTGGTGTGATCAGTTGTCCGGTTTTTGCTATTTCTTTTGCTATAGGTTTTTTTGTAATTTATTATTTTTTTTTTTTAGTCAGGTATCCGCAGCGGCTTCGCCGGCCCTGTATATAGGCTGCGGTATCGTTTTGTGCTGTTTGACCAGCTCACCAGGTCCACCTTTAAGTTAATACTTTGGGGTGTTTGTGTCTTTTTTGATGGACACGGGAATTGAGGGTTCATAATAATCTTTTTTTTTTGTTACAGGAAGCAGCAGCTTTAATAAACTGAATGTTTTGAACCCCCTTATTTGTGTCTCGTGTCCTCCTTAATATGTTGTGCCCAGGGTGGACGTAACAATGCTCAAGGTCCCAGTTAAACCCAAAAATAGCAAAAATATAAAGTGTAAAAAAGTATTCTTGTCGTTATAACAACTGCAGCATTGTGTCATTGAGCTAATCTTATGCTAGCTGTAGATTCATGTTTAAATGAGATCATGAACACGCATTAAACAGGATGGAGAAGAAACATTCATTGACAATGAAACGTGAGCTGACAATAACAACCTTTTTTATATAAAGGCTTCAAGATATATTCTGTATGTTGTTTTATTTTTGTGGCATGCTAATTCAGGAAACCAAGTGAGAAGTAATAAAGCCAATTAAGAGCTAGATAGGAAGAAATGAGCAAATTAAATATGGTCCTGCTGATTGTACACAAGTTAATTTTATCTCTGAATGAGAGTAGGATTGATCCAGGTACTGTATTGTCCTTTTAAAAGGTTTTAAAATTTAAGTTTACATTTATTCTAATAAAAGTGTACTCACCACCATGTTGTTCTTAGATACCCAGCAGTCTGGAGGAAAGTCCTGCAGCATGGGAACCATGAAGGTGAGGCAACCATCCCAGTGGCACAACAACAGCATCATTCCTATCAGGTTGACTATCCGCACCACAGCACTGGCCAGGTCATAGGTCATGTGGAAAATCTTTAAGAGAAAAATGTAGATTGAAGGAAAAATACAGCTACACTGAAGACAGCATGTTGTCCTACATCCCATCGTTTTACCTCTTCCCACTGGTGAATGTACCGGATCAGACGAGAAAGCCGGAGAAGGCGCAACAGACTGAGAATCTTAGTGAAACGTACAATTCGTAGGGCACGTGCTGTACGGTACACGTCGGACGACTCGTGCCGGGACTCCATGTCAACAATAAGAAAGATGTAGTCAACAGGGATAGAGGAGATGAAGTCTACCAGGAACCAGGTACGGAGGTAATGGACTCGAATCTCTTTGGGGTCCAGAATAATGTGGCTGTCCTCTCCTAGGATACCTGTACGGAAGTTGAAGAACAAATCCATGAGGAAGATGGTGTCAGACATGACGTTGAAGACGATCCAAGGCAAAGTGTTCTGGTCTTCAAAAAAGGTGATTCCCCAAGGGAGAATGACCAGGTTGCTCATCATCAACAGTAGCATCACGATATCCCAGTAAAACCTGGACAAAACAGAACAGAGGACTGCAATCAGGCTACTTTGATTTTATCAAAATTCTTCTTTATTACTAATGAGAAACTCTCCGATCTTGTGACGCCAAGACTAAATTATTTGGGGATGGCTTCCAATGGCCAATGTCTAGAAAATAGTCCAATAAGCATCACAATATATAGGACAAGATCAACGGGATTAACCCGACAACAGCTGAATGAGCAGTCAAACATGGAAACGCTTGCAAATTTTGTGGGGATACCTTAATGTAAAAGTGTCTGGACGACTTTCAAGGAAACAATGAATATAAAGTAATCATTTGGTCAGGCCTAAGGATGCGTTCAGCTTCAGTTCAGCTTGTTTTTCACATATTCACAAATAAAGACATCTACCAGCTCTTTACAGAAAAAATAATACTATTGAAATCAGTCTTAGGTTGAAGCCGAGCATTTAAACTTTAGTCTGACAGAAGTGGCTTCTGCAAACATTGACCAGGGCTATTCAACTAAATTGCTCAGGAGGCTACACTGAAAGCCAAGAGCTCGCAAGCCGGACATCCAGCAGTTATTGTCATTAAGTAAGTTTGATTTATGGTTTAAAAGAAAAATGAACCCATTGGTGGGCCAAACTGAGTTCATCCGTGGGCCTGATTTGACCGCCAGTTGAACATCCCCAAACAAGAATCTGGACCTCTAGCCAAAGAGATTGAACAAACCTACCAGAAAAAAAATCCATGCCTATTTAGTTCCCATTTATCAGGTCAAAGTAGAATATCTAAATAAAGACCAGACAGGGTTCAAATTAAAGTTGCACGCTTTGAAACACCTACCAAGAATGAATGACATCATGCCATTAAGAGGACAGTGTACTGTTCAAGAAGTGACCCTTATTCTCATACAAGAGGAACCCCTTCCCATTAAATAATAATGCAATACATAATCAACAGGCCAACGAACAAAGGACAGTATCAATACCAGTGGAAATGTTTCCCTTGTGAACTTCGTGCTCTACATAGTTTCATTGTCGTGCTTCATCTCGTCCACATTCTATATGGCTCCAGTGTCTCGTTGTACGTGGCCTTCACGGTGTGGATTTCCTTACAGATTGTTTACATCGAGTGTCAGTCACTTAGTGCCATACGGGCTCTCTTCCATTACACTGACACAGTAACAGAATCTCAACCGGACTGTTTTTTTGATTGCTAGCTGCCACCCTTCAGTGATTGCAACATGACTCAACAGTGAGGAAATTCCTCCTTTTCAGAACGGAGGAATCTGTTAATTGAGCTTTTCAGTTTCATTCACATCCACCCCCATCATCAACCTCTTGTGGTGATTTGTGTCAGATACACCAGTTTACATGACTGCTTGTCATCGCGTCTCATGTTGCAGCAGATTAGTGGGTCCTTCCTGCTGCTAATAACTCCAGCAAAGACGAGGGATGGTTTTAGAGCTGTCGACATGGACATGGTGTACATTTTAATGTGAGCTTAGTGTTAATGAGAAGCAGAGTTATTTCTGCTGAAAAAAAAAATCCATTTTATATGAGCTATTAAAAGCAAAATGCCAGGCTATAAATAGTTTATTTAGCCATATAAGCAGCATTGATTCAGTTAATGGACTTCTTCTATTTTAAGGAAAAAAAAATGCTTTAAAGAAGCAAAATGTCTGCAGCTGCTTATTGCCCTCAGTGCTAAATATGTTGAAATTTGACTGAAAGTATTAATTTTTCACAATTGTTTTATATTAGCTTCTCAACAATTGAATTTATTTGTTCTAAATCATTTAAATTTTAGCAAAATGTGCCATTCTATTTGAAGGGGAAGTTGGACCATAAGGTGTAAGGAGAGCCGGCCCTCTATAATCTCCCCCTCAGCTGTCTGTGTATTATTGCATAATAGAGCAAGATGGGAATTATCGAGATTCTTATGGGCAATAATCCCCAATGCACGGGTTTATCCTCTTTGTGTGGCATAGGCCTGATGGTTAAAAATTGTTCAAATTTGATGCCGGCTATTGTGGACACAGACAGATTGCCCCGGCTCCGTTGTGAAGATGTAATTTAGCTCAGACAACTGAAATCCTCTGAAAGGAGAGAGAGTCCAGACTGAAAGAAATGAATGTGTTTCAGTTCAAAGATCATTTAAATGATCAAACTAGTTCTTCTCTCCTTGTAAACAGGAAGAACGGACAGCATATATATACGTTGCATGATTAATCCACTTGATCTTGTCCTATATACTGTATCACTAATCAAATCCCTTCATCGCCTTACCATGTGCTCCGAACTGTGACATCAGCTGATGTCCTTGGAATACTGGACGCAAGCTGTTTGTCTGGCTGGATATTGATGGTGGGGAAATGATGCTTTCAAGGGAAGTTTGTGGACATTTATGACAAATTAAGTGATTTTAAATGTGATTCTTTGCACAGATTTTGTTGCCAAGAGATTTCCACAAGTATTATTGAATTTATGGGGGTAAAATAAGTTCTGGATTGATGGTGAAGTTACCTGAAGTCACTGTAGGGGTGAATGATCCACACCCCAAAGCTCTTGACTCTTTCCTGTTCTGCAGCGACCCCCTTGTGGCTGCCGAACATGCGCAGGGAGAACTTGTTGACCCCTGGCTGCAGCATGGAGCCAAACTGCTTCTGGAAGTAGGTGGACTGGTCCTGCAAGAGGTCATCATAGCTCACCTCGCCCACACCGGTGGGGTCCGGGGCTCCATCGGGGTCAGCGACGTAGTCGTCGTTGTGCGTCTTGACCAGGGAGAACAGGGTCCTGGTGACATCGCTCTTCTTCTCTGCTTTTGGGGAGGGGGTACCTGGAGGGGTGTTCCTCAGGGAGCTGCATCTCCATCTGGAGAAGTGGAGGCTGCTCCAGCTGCGATACCTGGGGGTCTCCGGCTTGTGAGCTGGACTTTCACCGATGACTTTCTGGTCATCTATACTCCTGGTAGGACTCGTCATTTTAAAACTCCAAACGGAGCAAACGTAGTTGGATTTATCTGTGCTGAGGCCTCTGTGTAAAGTTTAATTTCCGGTAAAGTTGGTTTAAAATCCCATTTCCTATTTGAAATCCAAGTCTTACTTAATAAAACAGCAAGAACAATATTCTCTAAATAAGGACACTTGGTTTTCAACAAAGTGTCACAGCGTAGTTTAAAAATAAAATCTTGATAAAAAGTTTCTTTTATAAATATATGTATATATTTATCCCATAAGAGTTCATTCAATCCAGAAGGAGTCCCATTCAAAACTTGAGGTGCAAAAAAAAAATAAAAATAAAATAAACTGCAGAAGCACTTCAGGCGCAGATGTGTCCTCCTCCCGTCTGACCAGGAGAGGACGGATGCAAATTGACTCAGAGGACTCAGTAGCCTTTAATAATCGGCTTTTTTGTCATAGCTGCGTCCACTCAACACTCCCTCACCCACCCAGTCCCTCCTCCTCCCTCCTGCGGTTGATGAACCTCCTCCCCCTTCTAAAGTGGCTGCAGGTCATGTTGCATCCAAAACGAGAACAAAATGATTAATTAGTCACCATTAAAGCTCTAAGTTGTGTTATTTGATATAAAAACTGCAGATTGAACAATTGTGTTTACAAGTTATTCCATTTACACTTATTTTACAATATTAAAAAGACAATTAAAAAACTCTCATACTTCAGGAATAGTTTATTAACATTTTTTTCTTGTACACTATGCCAAAAAATTAATCTATGGATAATAACAAAGACTGCATTTGGTAAAATTCAAAATTAAAATGAGTAATTAAAAATAATTATGTTAACTTGCACCATCGCTTATACTCAGTGACAGAGGTACCAATAGATTTGAATAACGTTAAATGTTTTATATACAAATGTTACAACACCTAAAAGTCACTCTATTCTTGATTAAGCTGAACATTTTGATACAAATTGTTAAAAAAACATGAAGTACAAAAAGGTATTTTGAAAAATTTGTGTATTAAAGAAACTATAAAGAAAAACAATTAGATATAAAGTTCGATTCCGTTTTCCTTTATGTCTTTTAAAAGTGACAAGCAGGAGCTGGCTCTGAAAAAGATTCAGAAAATCTTGGCATTTGGCATTTCCACCCTTCATATTTGACAAACAAACAAAAAAAAAATCAAGTTTCTAATTTTGGCATTGTATAAAAATTAAGTTCTTATGTCCAAAAAGTGTCAGAAATGCATATTTAATCAAATATAAAGCACAGGATGTACCAAATATTATATGTGAGATTAGGGTCTAATGTCCCATCATGATGTGTGCATGCTTGTGCTCTAAATCTTAAATAGGATCAGGGTTAATGCACATATCTACTCAAGTACCACAGATGTCCCTCTTGTTGTCAGTGAGACATCCGACATTTATGCTTTTAATCTGTAATTGTAAATCCTTTGTAGAGTAAAGCTATTATGTGTCTGCAGAAAGCAGCAACTAAATTATTGTACTCTGACTGGTTTAGAAATCAGTTTTTAAACTGTAGAAGATGCACTTTAATGACGAGTAAGGAATAATTGGAACATATTGTGAATTAACATTGAAGAGACATTTTGTTTTTTTTCAAAGGTATGGAAGGTTATGAGCAGTTAATATCCTACCTGTCGCAGATAGCCCCTCGGTTTGGAGAGATGACCAGATTGACGAGCTAACTCGTCAGAATTAAACTCAATTTGTCCTAAATGGTGATTCCTTTCTACTGTATCTCACTTCAGAAGTATAAACTTCCCCTCTAAATGCAGCTCAGTTCAATCTTTGATGCAGCAACCAGCAAAACTCAAAACATCTAGACATGTATAATTCCTCTCTATTTGTCGTTCTTCAAATGAAAATAAACTAAAATATCAGTGCACCAATGACATTTATAAATAACAAAACTGTTCTTTGGGAATGCTACTTGCAAAAGCAGAGCTATAAATATAGCTTGTGATATTAAAGCAAATTTAAAATAAGCTGACAGGCTTACAAAGGTCCCAGTGATCTGGATCAACACTTTCCTCTGGCAAGAAATGCCTAAAATTCAAGTGACACATTATCAGAAACATTTTTTTTTATATACATCAGCGATCGTAACAAGTCTTTTAGAAAATGATAAGTCTTTGTATAGTTGCTGCTTCATCTTCTGGACCTCTCTTCAGGTTGTGCTGATTTCTTTCCCACAAAACTCTCTGCAACACATAAATTCAGACCTCGTTACTCCATCGTGCGTGCACCGCCTTCTGAAAACGTTTCATTTCATGTGACTCACAAAGTTTTCTTGTCGTCCTTCACGTAATCACATATTGGCCTGTATTCCACCAGATTTGCTTTCAGAGTGTCGATCTCCTTTGTCCAGGCTTCAGACTCTGCATTTAGTGTATCTTGGTGACAATTTTTTTTTTTATTATAGATTTAATCTTTTCTTTGTGTACTTCGACACATGGTGGCAGCAGAGCAGAAACTACTTGTACCTGTTGTCTTCTTTTGTTCCTCCTCTGTGGACTCCACTTCCTTGGTTTGTGATTTCTACACAGCAGGGGACAGATGTTATTCATCTTTAGGTTAATTAGCTAAATTTACTGAAAAAATGAGCATGCACAAAGATTCATTATTAAATTAATAGATTTTTAACACAGAATCATGATATTCGTAAGACAAGAGCAAAAACCAAGTAGATTCAATAGTAATAGTTGGCTTTTATGTCAATTCTCAAGTACCAAACTTGTAATAATGTTTGAAAAATACCACATTTTTCGCCGTATAAGTCACAGTTTTTTTGCATAGATTTGTCAGTCATGCAACTTACACGCCGAAACAACTTATATACGTTTTTTTTTTCCATATTCATAACGCAATTTTTGACTGACGCTTTAAATTTTTACGAACTGCAACAGCGAGTTCTCCCGTGCACGGTTGCTTCACTCAGTTGGTGCAGGCGGAAGAACGCTGGAGAGCTAGCGGCTCCGGCCACGATGGATGGATGGCGCCGTGCCCCCCCGCCCCAGGTGAAATGAAGCTGTTTTTTGACCATTAAATAAATGCATAATAAACACGATGGGTCAGCTGTGACGCATAATAAATGCAACTTATTTGCCGAAGCGACTTTTAAATGTTTTTTTCCCTCTTCATGACGCTTTTATTGACTGATGCGACTTGTACTCTGGAGCGACTTATACACCAGTAAAGACGGTACCCTTGGGTAACAGTAATACATGACACATTCTGCAGCAGCTTATTTTTGTTAATTTGAAATAGAAAATAAATCCGTCACGTGGATGCATCACACTCAGAAAACTTAGAAATGAGGATTTTAGATTACATGGCAATAATTAAATCCCTTTTACTTGGAAAATGTCTTTGTCGGTTGTTTAAATCTGTGATGTTTTATGCATGTGTTGAGGTTTTATAGATCCCTTGCAAAAAGGCTTAAAACGTTTTTAAAATCTTTGACATAAGCCAAGTAAATTCTCTGAAATGGCTTTGAATTTAACCTGAACGGGCTGCCTGCAGCCAAAACGCAAAAACTTTTAAGCAAACATAAGTCTTGAGGAACAAGAACTTTTTTTTTTTGTTTTTTAACTAGCATGCGTGTTAAGTTAATTGGTAACTCTTAACTGTCTGTAGGTGTGGGTCAGGGTGTGAATGGTTGTTTGTCTCGTTTGCCTCACAGACCAGAAAAGAAAAGCAGATAAAGAAAATGGAAGTTTTAATGTCAATGTCAGCACATAAAAACAACAAAAACTGACCAAAGCGCTTTACAATTAAGTCAAATTAAAATCAAAATAACAAGAAAATACATCTTGTGTCACGGTGGGAGCACAAGAAAGTTAATAAACAGCGGAGTGGCTGTATGAAGCCAAAGGACCAAGAGTGTCAAGGGTGTTATATTTACCAAAGCTGATGACTTCAGTTTTATTTTCATTTAAATTCAGAAAATTTTGTTTCAACCAGACTGATGTCATTTAGATAGTGGTTCCAGTGGAGTGACCTTGTCTGACTTAATGGGCAGATACAACTGATTGTCATCAGCACAGCAGTGTAAAGAGAAGTTATATTTTCTAAAAATGAACCCCAAAGACAACATGTAAAGTTTAAAAGCAGTGGACCTAAAATAGACCCTTGAGGGACCCCACATCCTAGAGGAGCCGCAGAAGAACATTTCTCTAAATGAACAAAAAAAAAAAAAAAAACTCCTGTCAGTCAGGTTGGATCTAAACCAGTTTTAAAATACTTCATGTCAAAGTATCAAAAGTGTCAAAGTGTCATTTATAAAAACAGAAGTTGTCAGAAATTTGGGTAACATCTGAGGAAAATTTAATTATTGTAAGAAAATAAACAAGGATAAGAATCACAAAAATAAAAACATATAGATATTAAAAACATAATAATAATAATAATAATATATACTGTGATTAAACCAATAAAATGGGATGTGGGACAATGGGAGCTAACTGTTATAACACCATAATAATAAAAAAATTATATTAATGCAGTCTTTCAGGGGTCCATTGGTGAAGGTTGTCCTTGGCATGTCCTGGGTGGGGCTCCTAAAGACGTGTGAGGAATCTTGGCTGGGGCTTGATACAGGATGGTATTTGCACCTGCTTGACAGGAAAGATTCAGATCATCTCTGGTCTTCTGTCCTTGGCAATACCTTTGACTAGTGTCCGAAATGTCCCCTAGGCCAGATGAATGTTCATAGCTGCCTCAGGTCCTTGGACGGATAAAAGCCTTCCTGTGTCTCAGTGCTCAAAGTTCAACTCAAACCTGCCAGGACTGTTGGAGCCAAGGTGACAGTCAAGATTATTCAGTGAGCCTCCCGCTGACTTTTAGGTTGTGAGAAGATTCATTGTCCAACTTTCCCTTTTGTTAAAATCCAAAACATTTGCTCGGAGATATTAATATTGGTGTAGAAAAAAGCGAAATACCTAAACGTGTGCAGTCTATGGAGGCTGTTAATCTTAAACCCACATCCAAACATGCACAAACCTAATGAAAAACAAAACTTCAAAGCGAATTGTATTAAATCCTTCAAGCAATTTCTCTCATCCATAGTTATTGTGGAACTAACACACGAAACATTCATAAGTGGTGCTCACTTTGTTGCGTTGTGATGGTTAGATGTCGAACCCAAGTACAGGCAGACCACGGAGACTCGGAGA